GACTCTGGTGGGGTTACCACACAGAAAGAGAACCAGGTGTTCATGGTGGGTCCAAAGACAAGGACACTGGAGGCAATGAGGGCAGAGGAAAGTGCATGAGGCACATGGTGACCATCATTAGCTGTCCAGTTCCAACCCACCCCTTTAGCAAAAGGAGAATTAATTATGTGTAGGGGATGCCCCCTTAATGGCCATCATTTAGTTTAATTTAAGAAACAGATCCCTCAGCACAGCACACTCCTCCTTGGTCAGCAGCACCACCATTGGCAGCTGCGGTGATTAATGGCCTTCTCCTGGATACAGGAGAGCAGTGGTTCTCAAATGAGCATGCCTGAGAAACACCTTAAGGGTTCCTTTACACGTGGATTGCAAGGCGCCATCCCTGGGTGGTGTCCAATGATTTGCATTTCTGACAGGTTCCCAGGTGATCTTGATGCCATTGGTTCCGGGAACACACTTTGGAAATCACCGTAGTAGAGACAGGATTTCCTGTAGTCCTCCAATCCACAGGGCTTGGGAACTCTGCCCTTCACTGCCCCCTCTCCCAAGGGTCCACTAATCCAATGGGGGTGGGCATAACTATCTCTGCCACTTTACTATCCTCAAGTGCCCCCATCTCTGTGATGGTGTGTAAGACATGTGCATTCTCTGAGCATCACAGAGACCTCACCCTTGGGCATTTCTATTCCAGAGAGGGATGGATGAGTGCCAAGGGCCTGATTCCTTGACCCCTCTGCTTTGATGCAGTCCCTCCTGAGCTAGACCCTGGGGGGACCCACTTGCTGCATCCCCAGTCCCAAGCCAGAGGTGTCCCAGGGAGGTTGGTCCCCTATTCTGCAGGGCCTCTGCTCCTACCTACCAGGTGAGAGAGGTCAGACAGCTAGCATCTCTGGCAGCCCGGCAGTGGCAGGAGAGGGCCCACAATTACAGACCTAATTGTGTGACCACAGGCAGGTCCCACCCCCCATTGATTTGGAGCTGGAACTGCGGGCTTTGCCAGGGCTACCATCCAGAGAGCCTGTTTGCACCTGTGTCAAGGCAAGCTCAGGAAACCTAATTAGCTAGTTTGGTGTTTTATAATTAGGTCCTTTAAAAGAATTCATAGGTGCTGATAATAAGCCCATTTAGAAATCTATTAAGCTTTGGGGGAAGTTGAATAGAAACCTTGTAACTATGTGCACACTTGCTTTCTCTTTCCCCTCAGTGTCTCTTTTCTCCACTTTTCTCTCTTCTCCCGAGTCCTTCCTCCTGTTCTCTTTCCCCCTCTGAATCATCGGAGTTACTGGCTCCTCCATCCATGCTAAATGAAATCCTCTTTTATTGCTTAGGAAGTCTTGCACATGTACTGAAGGATTTAATCCTCCCCACAGCCCTCAGGTGAGTACTGTCATGATACCCATTTTATAGATGAGGAAACTGGAGTGCAAAGAGGTCGAGTCACCTATGTGAAGCTACATATCCTTAAGTCACTGAACCAGAAATGGAACCTGGTCAATCTGGCCTTACCTCCTCTGCAATACTCACTTTGCTCAGCCTACATTGCCCTGCTCACCCACAGCCCAGTGCTCCTGGCTCCAATGCTCCTACCAAGCTGGCTGAGTTGGCATTTTACACATCAAATTCCTGTTTTCTCAGAGACCTTGTGCCAGGACTTCAGTGCTAACTTCAGCTGGGTCTGTAATGGACAATGGCTTCTTATACAATTTGCTTCTCTAGCAACTCTTCCCACCCGGATTTCTGACAAGGTAGTATGGTAGAAAAGCAGACTGGATGCTCCCGTCCCTCCCTCCCTCCCTCCCTCCCTCCCTCCCTCCCTCCCTTCCTCCCTCCCTCCATTTCGCCTTCCTCCCTCCCTTCCCCCATCCTTCCTTCTCTGATCTGGGACTGAGAAGCTGGAGATGAAGTCAGTCAGTTTCTATCTGAAGGGCCCAAAGGATCCCCAGATACTTCCAGATCTGCATTAGAGACCCTAGCCCTCTCTTATCACCCTGTTTATTTCCTTCTAAGTGCTTATAACATTACATTCTCTCAAAGATTTGTTCACTTGTTCATTCACTTATTTATTACCTATCTCTCTCCATGAGAATGCAAGCGCTGTCAGGGCAAGGACTTTATTTGTATATATCTGATTCCCTGGAGCCTGCATTGGTTCCTAGCATGGAATAGAACTCAATAAATAGTGTTGAATGAGCAAATGTGTTGAACCTGATACTCAGTTTCCTTATCTATTAAATGGGATAATAATATCTGCTCTGCAGGGTCATAAAGAGCTTGGCACACAGCAGGTGACCCACAAATGGTGTTGCCCTCACTCCGCTCCCCTAAATCAAGCACTGAAATGCCCCGAGAAGCTCTCCCACTTAAAAAAAAAGCCCTTGGATGAATCCTCTTTTTTAGAGTGCAAAGAACTTTTCTTTATTTTTGTTGTTTATCTTTAAAAATATAATTGTAGGAGTTTTAAATGAGATGATGTCTCTATGTTGCCCAGGCTAATCTTGAACTTCTTGGCTCAAGAAATCTGCCTGCCTCATCCTCCCAAAGTGCTGGGATTACAGGTATGAGCCATGGGGCATGCTCAAGATTTTTTTCTGTAAAGCAAATGAGCCCTCTTAGATTTATCTGTTTTGGAAATTGGGTGCTTTGGTTTATATTGGTCTTCCCTAAAGTGGGCTAAGTGCATGTAACTATAGACATGTATATATTAGTGTCTTGTTACAATAGTTCATGATTATGCAGATTCTGAGAGCATAAGCAAAAACTGTACCTCCTTGAAGCATAACAATGGCTGCAGAAACATGAAAGCCAGACATAGGGCTGCTGCTCTTTAGCACTGTTGGTAGAGAGCTTGCACTGTGACAGAGCTGTGTTTGGAGCTAGGATATCCTCCACTTGCTAGTTGCAATGACCAGTGGCATGACTAGTTGCTTAACTGAATCTCTCCAAGGCTGAATTTTTTATTCTGTAAAATGGGGGACAGGGGGTGGTAGTCATAATATTTGTACCTATCTTATAGCATAACAACCCTATTAAATAAGGACATGAGATTATTCATTCAATAAAAGCTTATTGAACACCTACTATGTGCCAAGCACTGTTCTGAACTCTAGTAATTCAGAAGTGAGTAAGACATTTGATGCTGCGTGAGGCTTACATTCTTTTTTTTTTTTTTTTTTTGAGATGGAGTTTCACTCTTGTTGTCCAGGCTGGAGTGCAGTGGCACAGTCTTGGCTCACTGCCACCTCTGCCTCCTGGATTCAAGCAATTCTCCTGCCTCAGCCTCCCAAGTAGCTGGGATTACAAGTGCCCACCACCATGCCTGGCTAATTTTTGTATTTTTAGTAGAAATGGGATTTCGCCATGTTGGTCAGACTGGTCTCAAACGCCTGACCTCAGGTGATCCACCTGCCTCAGCCTTCCAAAGTACTGGGATTGCAGGTGTAAGCCCCATGTTCAACCTGAGGCTTACATTCTAGTGGGAAATAATGCATGTAAAGCTCTCAGAACTGTGCTCAATGAATGCTGGCTAGAAGGGTGACTGTGGCTGTACAGTGACATATAGGTCCCTGCCTCAATAGCCTCTTCAGTGGGAGAAGATGTACACGTGGCTGGACACATCTCCATGAAATTGATCTATGGCAACAGTTGAACCTGCTCCACTCTTTCATGAGGCTGGAATTCTTTGCACATGTGTGTGCATGCATGTGTGTTTTGGAAATGGGTGGGTGTGGGTCAATGTCTGCCATTTTCAACCTGACATTGAGTGGTCAGGTGTCAGCCTCATCTTTCCTTGTACAACATATTGCCCTCTCTTATGCCTTTGCTTTCCACACTCTGCTTTTGCTCACCCTGTTCCCTCCTGCTGGACTGCTTTCTTCCTGCCTCTGCAAACTCTGGCTGTCCTTCAAGGTCTTCCTTCATGAAGCTTTCCCTGAACCTGTCCACTGGGAGAAGTCCCTCCCTTCATTTTGCATCTTCCTCCTCTCTCACACTTGTGTTCCTTCCTCCCCATTTCCTTTGATCTGTCTTTCCAAGGACCCCTTCCTTAGGAGAGACTCTCATGCCAGAGACTGGAAACTACTCAGCAGCTCTCTGGAGTTCTAGAAGAGGACCAAGTTGTAATTCACCTTCTAAGACCTACCACTGCACTCAAGGGCAACACTGTGTGATAGGGTGATGGGGGTCATTTGTTTATTCATTCCCCTGCTGAACCATGGACTCCTTCAGGACTGGATCCTGTTCTATCCATCTCTGTGTCTTTTGCACCAGATTGCTTTACTTGAAATAGATTCTCAACAAACACTTGTTAGGCAATTAAACAAATGCATGGCTCAGAGGATTTATTTTGAATCATCAGACTTTACTTTTTTCTGGGGTGTGAGATATGAGGCAGGAACCTGGTCTGGAGCAGTAAGTCTTTTTTGCATTGGCTATTCTGCCTGTGTGCTCCCACTTGTACAACGAAACCTGCCTCTCTATGTACTTTCACATGCATCCATGAGGCCTGGGTGGTTGTCTTGGGTGTGTATTTTGGGGGAGGGTGGGTACGGTGGCAGCCCAGTGCCCAGTGATGGATGAGGGGGGTGGAGGTGACTTTCCCAGGGGAAGATTAGCGCCTGGCAGCTATGATTTGTCTCGTGCCCTCCTGTCCTTTTGCTGGGCCCCACTGCAGAGTCATTCATTACAGAGGCTGCTGTCACAGACTGGGGGCAGGGGCTGAGCAATGTGTGCATGTGTGGGGGTGGCAGGCAGGACCCCTTCCTTAGGAGAGACTCTCATGCCAGAGACCAGAGACCACTCTGGCTATGCAGCAGCGCTCTGGAGTTCTGAGAGAAGAGTACCAAGTTGTAATTTACCTTCTAAGACATACCACTGCACTCAGGGGCAACACTGTGTGATGGGGGGAGGGGCGTTTGTTTATTCATTCATTCACTTGGCAAAACATTTTACTGAGTTTTGCCAGTAAAACCTGCTGAGCCCACCAGATCTGTTCTCTCTTCCAGGAACTCATGATTGCTGAAGGAAGATGGGCATGTACACAGACAGTGTCAGGAGGGAACAGGGCTCGTGAAACAGGTGTCCTTCAGCCTGGGACACCTGAAGGCAAGTGAGAAGCCACAGGGGATGATGGTAAGAGTGCTGAACTTGGAGGCTGAAAACTTAGGCTTGGGTCCCGGCTGCATTACTTACTAGCATTGTGGCCTTGGGCTAGTCACTTAAAACCTGCTGATGTCTCGGTGCCCACATCTGTGAAATGGAGCCGTGTTAAATGTGAAAAAGCCGTCAATGTGCTTTTTTTAAACTGGAAGGTACTGTATAGGTGGGTGGGATCACTGCTTTGTTGATCCTATTGCAGGGATGGGATAGGGACAGGGCAGCCAGATAAGATTGTAGAAAAATATACAACCCCTTCTCCCTAACTGCTGAATATTTATATAGTCCTCTGCAGTTTACAATGCACTTTCACACTCTGTATTTCTTGTTCCTTACAACAACTTTGCAAGCCAGGTCAAGGCAGGCATTATTAGATCCCATATCATAGGGGAAGAAGAAGCTCAAAGAGGTAAATGACTTGCCCAGGGTTAGTGAGCTCAGTTAGTGGGTGAGCTAAAACTGGAATTTGGTTCTTTCTTATACCCAGGACTGATGCCTTCCCTGCTTCTACACACGAGAGTTCTTCCTCTGATGAGCCCCTCTGCCTCTGCTCTGGTTTGGATGACACCGCCCCCACCCCCTGGGGCTCCCATCTCATAATGGATGCAGTACCTTCTTCTCCAGTCCACACATCTTCATTGTACCAACTCATGACCACTTTTGGACACAATAATGCCCAAAAGTGGTCATGAGAGCAGAGAGAGCAGTGTAGGTTTGAGAGTGTTCAATGGAAAGAGATCAAGCTGAGATTTCCCAAGAGCTCTCACTCAAAACTGGCAGGCCAGCTGTTAAATTACTATGGTAAGGAGAGAAGGAAAGGAAGAGAGAGGAAAGAAGGAGAAGAAAAGACAATAGAGAGAGAAAAAGGAAGGAAAGAAAGAGGAAGGAAGGAAAAGAAATAAAAGAAAGGAGAAAGAAGTAGAAGTTGGGTGAAGAGCATGAAGAGGGAGTAAGGAAAAGGGGAAAATAAAAGAGAATGGGAATAAGACAGAAAGGAATCCAGGAGAAATAAGGAAAGAGAAAAAGGGAAGGAAGGAGGCCAAAGAGGCTGGGGAGGGTATGGGGGTGGGGAGGGAGAGTCAGCTCCACTCTGGCAAGGGGTGGGAGATTGAAGGCTGAATCGCAGCAGGCAGTGGAGGAGAGGAATAAGTCATAAACGCTGCAGGGGCAAAGGTCAAATATAGACTGATGGCTCCATTGTTTCCCAGCTGGTGAGGAGGACCCTGTTGGGGGCTGCTGAAATGCTTAAACCCTTCCCTGTCCAGCCCTTTAATGGTGAGGCAGGTGTGGGGATGCAGAGTGAGAAAAAGCCCCTGTGGGTCCAGGGTGAAGATTAGGGCATTAGAGTTGGAACTGGACATGGGACAGGGTGGGTACTGGGTCTTGGAAGAAGGGACTCCAAAGTCTTCTCCACTTCAACTCATAGGAGGTAGAATAAAGAAAACATGCCACCTCTCTTTTTCTAATAGTAGTAGTCCTCTTTTGCATCTCTGTAGAGATTTCCCAGGGAAGAAAGAAGTTCTTGGGAAATGGTTGAGTAACACTATCAACAACAATAATAAATAGTATTAACAATATAAATGAATGTTTACTAAGGAATAAAATAAAATTCATATTAATTAATATTTATCAACCATTAATACATGCTCTTATGTACAGTGCTTATGGGTTTAAAAATAACTTTAACAAACATGTTATTACATCTAACAATCCTGTGTGATAGGTATTATCAGCACCATTTCATCAGTGAAGAAATTGATGCTCAGACTTGTCCAAATTGTGCCAGTTAGCAGCTTTCTGAATCCTGATCCACAGATCTTTGTACTACCCAGAATTTTCCTTGGGCAGTATCATACTCACCATAGAGGAAGAACAGAGACTTTCAGGAAGTGTTTGGTATGACATGACACTTGCCAGTTGAGAAAGCCAGATGTAGTTAGAGAGGGGGTGAGAGGATTATGTCCATCTGTGGGACATGTCTTCAGCACCACGAACAGTTCTCATACCACCTTTTCCCCATCCCCTCTTCGCCAGACTATGAAGCCTAGGATGGGTGGGGAGGTGGTGCAGGGGGAATACCACCAGACTCCTTAAGCCCTCCCCAGGGGAGAGGTGGAGGGGCTGGGGGACGGGATGTCTACTCCTTGTGGGCTGTAACTCCACCCCCCACCCCATGATGTATAGACTGACAAAGGACTTAATGCTGTGAATACATAAAGCGGCGGAGGCCTGGGCGGTGGAGGGTGACAGCTGCCCTTTAATGCTTGGCTTTTTAAAGATCATGGTAGAGTTCAGAAAGTATAGTCATGAGGTTTAATGATTTAATGGGGACGACTGGGGAGCAAAATAGTTACTGCACCCTGGGGAAAAGTGACTCCTCATACATATTACTTTAGCCTAATGGCCTATAACGCCCTCCCCTCGTGCCCGCGGGGGGAGTCACGCTACATAGCCGCTGTAATACCGAATGGCCTGATTAAATGCATATTAAACAATACTAAATTGAGGAAAAAAAGGCGGAGGCAGTGCTAAATCTATTTATTCTGTGAGGGGAAGATATGACTCCTCTGGTAGTGGATGGAAGAAGTCCTGCCTAGCCAGTTCCCCAAAAGATGTGGTGTCCCAGTGAGATTTAGAGAGAGGTAGAAACCTCATTTCTTTGAGAAGAACTTACGGGGGAAGGCAACTCCAAAATTGAAGGGAAATGCTAGACAACCAAGGATCTGGAATGCCAGGAGTAAGAAGGGTCCACAAGATCTACTGTCCCAAGAGGCCCCAGTGATTCCCAGCTTGGAGTTCTGCCCACAGATGTATGTGTGGTTTGATTCTAATCAGTCATTTTTGAGACTTTTCTGTAAATCCAGGGGCCACTTTGAGATTCTTGGGTCCACTGTACTGGTCTCATTACCTGTAAACCACTCCCCTCCCTCAACATGACCCTGGTCATCAGTTTCTAAGATCACTGATGAGGCTACAATGAGAATGAAGCCTTAGATCTTCAATGCACCTGGGTTCTATAGACCACAAATGCATGCTAGAATCACCTGGGTAGGTTTTTTTAAAGTGCCAGTGTCTGAATTATTCTCCTCAAGAGATTCTGATTCACTTGGCTTGGGGTGTGTCCCAGGTGTTGGTATTTTTTAAAAGCTACCCAGGTAGTCCAATGTGGATCCAAAGTTGAGAATCACTTTAGTAGAGTGTCAGAGCTTGGAGAGACTTTGGAAAGCACCCAGTTTAAGTTTTTTGTTTCAGAGATGAGGAGTTGAGGCTTAGAGAGGTCATGACTTCTCCAAGATCCATAGGAATAGACTGGACTCGACTCCCAACCCTGTCTTCTTTCCATTGCACTCCTTCCTTTTTTATGGTAGAATGAACAGGGCCAGATCAGAGCCAGTGACTATGAAACATCAGAATCCTGGCTCTGTAGCTTCCTATCTCAGACCCAGGCAGACCCAAGATGGCAACTTTTTCCGTGGACTTAAGTAGAGGGATTCTTTGGTCACTCAACTTTGCCTGAGATGCCAACACATGTGTTTTTCTGACCCCAAGAACCTTCCAGACAACCTCTCTGGCCCCTAATCCTTTAGGCTCTGGCTGACCTATGGCCTCCTATAGTGAAGCATTTAAGAGCATGGGCTCTGTAGCCAAGCTACTTGGATTTAAGCTTGGACCTGCCACTTATTACCAGTATAACTTTGGAGAAGTTAGTTAACACCCAGGCATTTCAGTTTTCTTATCTGTAAAAGGGATATAATAACAGCACTTACTTTGTAAGACTGATATAAGGATGAAATGAGTTAATATATGTAAAAGTACTGAAAACAATGTCTAACATGTAGTAATTGCCATGTAAGTGATAACTATTTTTGATTTAACATTTTAAATGTGCCTTTCTATTAAAGATTGCAATGCATTAAGTTGTTCAATATATTATATTTGCCTTCCAACTCCAAAATCTTTAAGGATAGATTCTAGGGTCTATACTCAGAGACTTTGGTTCTCTCAGATCCTGAGAGATCCAGGTAAGTTCAGACACTGCCTTCCACAAAGTGGAGGAGAAAAAGCTTGGATAGAAGAGGGTAACAGGAGCAAGGTTATGTAGAAGCTCAGCTCCAGGAGAGTGCCAAGATGAAGGTTCTACCTGTCCTCTGGGGATGTTTGAAATGCTTAAAGATACCTAAGTTGGTGGTGATGGCTGCTAGACCCCAAAAACGCCCACTGGCAAGTAAAATTAAACAGAAAGGAGTCCTGTTTCTAGTTTCCTCATGGGAATAGTGGTGGTGCATGAGTGCCCATTCACCTTTTTACATACTCACAGCTTGGCTTTGTTGAGGCACAATCTGATTTCCAAACTGAGTTTCCTGTTTTCTTAGCCACTGACTGGGATGCAGTGGGACAGTCCCCCAAATCATCCAAGACATGGGAAGTCCATAGTACTCTTCCCTGTTCCTGGCATGCACCTGTCCATGCGTCCTGGGGAGAATGAGACAGGAGTATGGACTTCAAGGAGGCACCATCTTCTCATACTAGTTTCTGAACTTTTAGATGCTGACATATAGGACTGTGCAAGAGTAGCCTTCCCAACATCATCACCAATGACTACCCTTCGCAAACCTTCTGTCCTGGAATACAGCCCTACTGTCCCCAATTCGTGTTGCTCCTTTTGACACTCCAGTCTTGACCTATCCTACTTTCTTCATCTGAATTGCCTTTCTCCATTATTCTGTGTCCAACTTATGCCCATCCTTCAAAGCCCAGGTTAAGAGCCATCACCCTCTAGCAAGTGCCCTCTGATTCACCCAATGAAATGGTTTTCTCTCTGTCTTGAGAACTTTACAGTCTTTTTAGTTCCCTTCCTTACTGACCTGATCACAAACTGCCTTGTACCACCATTACCTGGGCTCCTCATGGCTCAACCACTAAACTCTAAGCTTCTGAAAGAACCATGTGCCCCACACTCTACAGTCTAACACCAGGCTTGCCCAGAGTCTATGTATTGTCGAACAGATAGGTGGAGGGTTGAGTGAACGAGGAATATCCTCACCTACTCTGAAGACCAAAACCTCACATTAAGTAAAAAGCAACAGTTAGGCTTCTCCAGACCCAAGCAGAAAAACTTAAAAGGGCTAGAAACATACCACTAGAGGAGTTAGTGGCAGAACCCCTCAGCTCCAACCGCAGACCCTCTGCTTGGAGGAGTAGGGAGGGAGGGAAAACTGTGATTGATTTCTCCTTTCTGTTCCACCAGATACCCCTCCACACACTCACACACAGTATCACACACATAGTCCTCACTGCCTACTCTCCTCCTTTCCTCCTCCCTCAACTGCATTTAATATAAATGCCCATTAAAAAATTCTCTCCT